CTTATTTTCTTATTTCTTTCCTTCCTTCCCTTTTCTTTTTCTTTCTTTTTTTCTTTCTTTCATTCTTTCTTTCTTTATTTCATCCCTTCTTCCATGCTTCATTATTTGATCCTTTCTCTCTTTCCTTCCTTCCCTATTTTCTCCCTCCCTCCCTTCTTTCTCTCTTTCCTTCCCTCCTTTCTTGTTTCCTTATTTCTTTCCTTCCTTCCCTTTTCTTTATTTTTCTTTCTTTTTTACCCCTTCTTCCCTTCCATGTTTCTTTATTTTATCCTTTCTTTCTTTCTCTCCTTCTTTATTTTCTTATTGTTTCCTTCTCTCCCTTTTCCTTCCTTCTCTTTTTTTCTTTCTTTCTCTCCTTCCTTATTTTCTTATTTCTTTCCTTCCCTCCCTTTTCCTTCCTTCCCCTTTCTTTTTCTTTCTTTCATTCTTTCTTTCTTTATTTCATCCCTTCTTCCATGCTTCATTATTTGATCCTTTCTCTCTTTCCTTCCTTCCCTATTTTCTCCCTCCCTCCCTTCTTTCTCTCTTTCCTTCCCTCCTTTCTTGTTTCCTTATTTCTTTCCTTCCTTCAATGTTTCTTTATTTTATCTTTCTTTCTTTCTTTCTTTTCTTTCTTTCTTTCTTTCTTTCTTTCTTTCCCTCCTTCTTTATTTTCTTATTGTTTCCTTCTCTCCCTTTTCCTTCCTTCTCTTTTTTTCTTTCTTTCTCTCCTTCCTTATTTTCTTATTTCTTTCCTTCCCTCCCTTTTCCTTCCTTCCCCTTTCTTTTTCTTTCTTTCATTCTTTCTTTCTTTATTTCATCCCTTCTTCCATGCTTCATTATTTGATCCTTTCTCTCTTTCCTTCCTTCCCTATTTTCTCCCTCCCTCCCTTCTTTCTCTCTTTCCTTCCCTCCTTTCTTGTTTCCTTATTTCTTTCCTTCCTTCCCTTTTCTTTATTTTTCTTTCTTTTTTACCCCTTCTTCCCTTCCATGTTTCTTTATTTTATCTTTCTTTCTTTCTTTCTTTCTTTCTTTCTCCTCCTTTATTTTCTTATTGTTTCCTTCTCTCCCTTTTCCTTCCTTCTCTTTTTTTCTTTCTTTCTCTCCTTCCTTATTTTCTTATTTCTTTCCTTCCCTCCCTTTTCCTTCCTTCCCTTTTCTTTCTTTCTTTCATTCTTTATTTTATCCCTTCTTCCATGCTTCGTTATTTCATCCTTTCTCTCTTTCCTCCCTTCCCTATTTTCTTCCCTCCCTTCCTTCTTTCTCTCTTTCCTTCCCTCCTTTCTTATTTCCTTATTTCTTTCCTTCCTTCCTTCATTTTTCTTTCTTTCTTTCTTTTACCCCTTCTTCCCTTCCATGTTTCTTTATTTTATCCCTCTTTCTTTCTTTCTTTCTTTCTCTCCTTCCTTATTTTCGTATTTCTTTCCTTCCCTCCCTTTTCCTCCCTTCTTCTTCTTCTTTTCATTCTTTCTTTCTTTATTTCATCCCTTCTTCCATGCTTCATTATTTGATCCTTTCTCTCTTTCCTTCCTTCCCTATTTTCTCCCTCCCTCCCTTCTTTCTCTCTTTCTTTCCCTCCTTCCCTACTTTCTCCCTCTCTTCTTTTTCTCTTTCATCCCTCCCTCTTTCCCTTTCCCTTCTGCTCCCCCTTTTCCCCTGTGATAAGATCCAAGGGGGAGGCTTGGCTTTTGCTCTGAGCTGGCCTTGCTTTGCCTCGGGGGCCAGTTGTGCAACCCGCAGCCCGGCTCTGGGAAAGGGTGGGGGAGACCAGCCCTGCCCTGCCCTGCCCCCTCCTCCTTGCAGGGCCCCATCAGCTGACGTCAGCACCACCCCCCTCCCACGCGAGGGTTTTCCCCCGTGACTCCCTCCGTGGGCGAAGCAGAGGGAAAGCAGGGAGCCCTGAGTCCCTGAGCTGAATGGGTGGGAGCTGATGCTCCTATGCCTCCGGGGATGTCGCAAAGAGGGAGACCCCCTCCTCCAAATGTGGGTCTCCCCTTCTTCTGGCACCTGCAAGAGGAAGGGAAGACCCACAGGTGGGAGGAGGAGGGGGAAGCCAAGCTCAGGCTCAAGGCAGTAGAGATAGTGTTACAGTAAGTTGTAGCAGGACCAAGTGTGTGTGTGTGTGTGTGTTGAAGAAAAGCCTTCTGATGGTAATTATTAGGTGCAGCTGGTAATGTAGGTCAACCAGCAATCTTGGACCACACCTGATAGCAGTGGTTCTCAACCTGTGGGTCCCCAGGTGTTTTGGCCTACAACTCCCAGAAATCCCAGCCAGTTTACCAGCTGTTGGGATTTCTGGGAGTTGAAGGCCAAAACATCTGGGGACCCACAAGTTGAGAACCACTGCGATAGGGTATAACTGTCTGGGTTTTTAGAATACAGTTCTGCAGAGCTTTTTCTCTGAGGAGATCCATGCTCAAAGGCTCTGCTCCGAGGAGCATTGAATCCAAGAGTTGGAAGAGACCTCCTGGGCCATCCAGTCCAACCCCATTCTGCCAAGAAGCAGGAATATTGCGTTCAAATCACCCCTGACAGATGGCCATCCAGCCTCTGTTTAAAAGCTTCCAAAGAAGGAGCCTCCACCACACTCCGGGGCAGAGAGTTCCACTGCTGAACGGCTCTCACAGTTAGAACCATGAATCATAGAATCAAAGAGTTGGAAGAGACCTCCTGGGCCATCCAGTCCAACCCCATTCTGCCAAGAAGCAGGAATATTGCATTCAAATCACCCCTGACAGATGGCCATCCAGCCTCTGCTGAAAGCCTTCCGGGCTGTATGGCCATGTTCCAGAAGCATTCTCACAACCTCTGAGGATGCCTGCCATAGATGCAGGCAAAGCATCGGGAGAGAATGCTTCTGGACGGGGCCAGCTCTAGGTAATTTTTAAGTGTAAGCAAACAGTATTTTGGTGCCTTCCCCCCCAAACTAATCACTGAAAAATAAAAGGTAGAATCATAGAATCAAAGAGTTGGAAGAGACCTCATGGGCCATCCAGTCCAACCCCATTCTGCCAAGAAGCAGGAATATTGCATTCAAATCACCCCTGACAGATGGCCATCCAGCCTCTGTTTAAAAGCTTCCAAAGAAGGAGCCTCCACCACACTCACATATTTATACATGGCAACTAGCTTGTCAATATCTCTCTTCAGGAGGTTGGAGAGAAGCCAGAATCCTGCTCTAAAGGAGGCTATGGTGGAATGGCTGTTGCCTCAAGGTTATTTTGTGTTACTTACAAAGACTATGTAAGTTGGGTTGTTGTAGGTTTTTTCAGGCTATATGGCCATGGTCTAGAGGCACTCTCTCCTGACGTTTCGCCTGCATCTATGGCAAGCATCCTCAGAGGTAGTGAGGTCTGTTGGAACTAGGAAAATGGGTTTATATATCTGTGGAATGACCAGGGTGGGACAAAGGACTCTTGTCTGCTGGAGCTAGGTGTGAATTTTTCAACTGACCACCTTGATTAGCATTTGATGGCCTGGCAGTGCCTGCTGACCACCTTCAACTGACCACCTTGATTAGCATTTGATGGCCTGGCAGTGCCTGCTGACCACCTTCAACTGACCACCTTGATTAGCATTTGATGGCCTGGCAGTGCCTGCTGACCACCTTCAACTGACCACCTTGATTAGCATTTGATGGCTTGGCAGTGCCTGCTGACCACCTTCAACTGTCCACCTTGATTAGCATTTGATGGCCTGGCAGTGCCTGCTGACCACCTTCAACTGACCACCTTGATTAGCATTTGATGGCCTGGCAGTGCCTGCTGACCACCTTCAACTGACCACCTTGATTAGCATTTGATGGCCTGGCAGTGCCTGCTGACCACCTTCAACTGACCACCTTGATTAGCATTTGATGGCCTGGCAGTGCCTGCTGACCACCTTCAACTGACCACCTTGATTAGCATTTGATGGCCTGGCAGTGCCTGCTGACCACCTTCAACTGACCACCTTGATTAGCATTTGATGGCCTGGCAGTGCCTGCTGACCACCTTCAACTGACCACCTTGATTAGCATTTGATGGCCTGGCAGTGCCTGCTGACCACCTTCAACTGACCACCTTGATTAGCATTTGATGGCTTGGCAGTGCCTGCTGACCACCTTCAACTGACCACCTTGATTAGCATTTGATGGCCTGGCAGTGCCTGCTGACCACCTTCAACTGACCACCTTGATTAGCATTTGATGGCCTGGCAGTGCCTGCTGACCACCTTCAACTGACCACCTTGATTAGCATTTGATGGCCTGGCAGTGCCTGCTGACCACCTTCAACTGTCCACCTTGATTAGCATTTGATGGCCTGGCAGTGCCTGCTGACCACCTTCAACTGACCACCTTGATTAGCATTTGATGGCCTGGCAGTGCCTGCTGACCACCTTCAACTGTCCACCTTGATTAGCATTTGATGGCCTGGCAGTGCCTGGGGCAATCTTTTGTTGAGACGGGATTAGATGTGCCTGATTGTTTCCTCATTTTCCTAGTTTCCAAACAGACCTCACAACCTCTGAGGATGCCTGCCATAGATGTGGGCTAAACGTCGGGAGAGAATGCTTCTGGAACATGGCAGCCCAGTAAAAAGTGTAATTTGCAAGCTCGATTTGCATATGTTGAGTGGGAGCAGGGCATCTGCCGGGAAGTAGCCTGGCCTTGTTCCCTTTGAATAGTTTACTGCCTGGGCCTGGAGACATCCTTTGCCTGGGTGGTGCTCACTGGCCCTTGAGTGCTTATTCCCTTCGAGGAGAGGCTGGATGGGGAGGACCTGGCTTGTGTTTTCCCTGAATGGCAGAAAGAAGCGGGTCGGGTTGGGTGGCCTTTGGGAGTCCCTTCCAACTCTCGGGAGCCTCTGATTCCCAGCCGGAGGCATCCTCCTCGAGTCCATCGGAGGGAGGGATGGAGGGAGGGGCGGAGGGGCCGGCCGTGGTTCCTCCTCGCGGGGAGGAGAGCCGGGCTTTGTCCCCGACGGGGCGGGAGGAGGGCTGAGTCCCGCCCCGCAGGCTCCCAACGCCGCCCAGGTGCGGCCGGCCAGTCGGGGTGGCTCCGGAGAGACATCCCAATCCCCTTCTCACTTGGGGAAAGCCCTCCGAGCCGAGTCCAGCTCCCCCTCGAGTGGCAGGATGTTCCAGCGGCACCACCGGAGCCGCGTGACGGTGGCCAGGGGCTCGGCGCTGGAGATGGAGATCCGGCGGGGGCGGTTCCGGCTCAGCCTCCTGGCAGACCCCGAACAGGTGAGCCCTCGAGAGAGGGAGGGAGGGACACCTGGAGTGGGCATAGCAGGGCAGGAGGGAACCCCAGAGCCTTGCCAAGAGACCCCTCCCCTCCCCACCAGTGTCCTAACCCTGCCCCGACCCTTCAGGTTCATTGCGGGTTCTTTTCCTGCGTGGGGTGCCCGGTTATCCCAGTTTGGTGCCGCTTCCACAGTCAAGAGCCCATCACCCAAGCAGAAAATGCCTTGAACTGGGTTATATGAGTCTACACTGCCCTGTAGTCCAGTCCAAAGCAGATTGTTGTTGTTCTTTCGTTCAGTCGTCTCCGACTCTTCGTGACCTCCTGGACCAGGCCACGCCAGAGCTCCCTGTCGGCCGTCACCACCCCCAGCTCCTTCAAGGTCAGTCCAGTCCTTTCAAGGATGCCATCCAGCCATCTTGCCCTTAGAGACAAAGTTGAAGTACTTTGGCCACATCATGAGGAGACAGAAAGCCTAGAGAAGACAATTATGCTGGGGAAAGTGGAAGGCAAAAGGGAGAGGGGCCGACCAAGGGCAAGATGGATGGATGGCATCCTTGAAGTGACTGGACTGACCTTGAAGGAGCTGGGGGTGGTGACGGCCGACAGGGAGCTCTGGCGTGGGCTGGTCCATGAGGTCACGAAGAGTGGAGATGACTGAACAAATGAACAACAACAATACATATAATATTTACAATATATTGTATATGTTCTATAATACATTGTATATACATATAAAATTTATAATATATTGTATATATACATATAATATTTATAATATATTGCTTATGTTCTATAATATATATTATATGCATATAATATTTACAATACATTGTATATATTCTATAATATATTGTATATACATATAATATTTACAATATATTGTATATATTCTATAATACATTATATACATATAATATTTGTAATATATTGTATATGTTCTGTAATACATTGTATATACATATAATATTTATAATACATTGTCTATAATATATATTATATGCATATAATATTTACAATACATTGTATATATTCTATAATATATTGTATATACATATAATATTTACAATATATTGTATATGTTCTATAATACATTGTATATACATATAAAATTTATAATATATTGTATATATACATATAATATTTATAATATATTGCTTATGTTCTATAATATATATTATATGCATATAATATTTACAATACATTGTATATATTCTATAATATATTGTATATACATATAATATTTACAATATATTGTATATATTCTATAATACATTATATACATATAATATTTTAATAATATTGTATATGCATATAGTTCATTGTATATATAGTATAATATTATAATATATATATATTCTATAATATATTGTATATACATATAATATTTATAATATTATACTGTAATACAATATAATACTACTACTACTAATAATAATAATACAATATTGTAATTATATATTTTATATTACATGTAATATTACTAATAATATTACAATCATAGAATCATAGAATCAAAGAGTTGGAAGAGACCTCATGGGCCATCCAGTCCAACCCCATTCTGCCAAGAAGCAGGAATATTGCATTCAAATCACCCCTGACAGATGGCCATCCAGCCTCTGTTAAAAGCTTCCAAAGAAGGAGCCGCCACCACACTCCGGGGCAGAGAGTTCCACTGCTGAACGGCTCTCACAGTCAGGAAGTTCTTCCTCATGTTCAGATGGAATCTCCTCTCTTGTAGTTTGAAGCCATTGTTCCGCGTCCTAGTCTCCAAGGAAGCAGAAAACAAGCTTGCTCCCTCCTCCCTGTGGCTTCCTCTCACATATTTATACATGGCTATCATATCTCCTCTCAGCCTTCTCTTCTTCAGGCTAAACATGCCCAGTTCCCTAAGCCGCTCCTCATAGGGCTTGTTCTCCAGACCCTTGATCATTTGAGTCGCCCTCCTCTGGACACATTCCAGCTTGTCAATATCTCTCTTGAATTGTGGTGCCCAGAATTGGACACAATATTCCAGGTGTGGTCTAACCAAAGCAGAATAGAGGGGTAGCATTGCTTCCTTAGATCTAGACACTATGCTCCTATTGATGCAGGCCAAAATCCCATTGGCTTTTTTTGCCGCCACATCACATTGTTGGCTCATGTTTAACTTGTTGTCCACGAGGACTCCAAGATCTTTTTCACACGTACTGCTCTCGAGCCAGGCATCGTCCCCCATTCTGTATCTTTGCATTTCATTTTTTCTGCCTAAGTGGAGTATCTTGCATTTGTCACTGTTGAACTTCATTTTTTTAGTTTTGGCCCATCTCTCTAATCTGTCAAGATCAAAACCACCACACCACCCCCCCCCCCCCAAAACCCCCCTCCACTAATCTGTCAAGATCGTTTTGAATTCTGCTCCTGTCCTCTGGAGTATTGGCTATCCCTCCCAATTTGGTGTCGTCTGCAAACTTGATGATCCTGCCTTCTAGCCCTTCATCTAAGTCATTAATAAAGATGTTGAACAGGACCGGGCCCAGGACGGAACCCTGAGGCACTCCACTTGTCACTTCTTTCCAAGATGAAGAGGAAGCATTAGTGAGCACTCTCTGTGTTCGTCCACTTAACCAATTACAGATCCTAGTTTTGCCTAGCCCACATTGGACTAGTTTTGTGCTTATGCCATATATGTATGTATGTATGTATATATATATATATGTGTGTGTGTGTGTGTGTGTGTGTGTGTGTGTGTGTGTGTATATATATATATATATATATATATATATATATATATATATATATATATATATTGTAAGCCGCTCTGACTCCCCTTCGGGGTGAGAAGGGCGGCATATAAATGTCGTAAATAAATAAATATTAATATAATATATTATAGTATTAATATATTACTGATGTTGCGCTGTGCTAAAAATATAATATATTGTATACACATATAATATAGATAATAATATTATAATGTAATACAATATAATAATTATTACTAATAATATTACAGTACTAGCCATCCCCTGCCACGCGTTGCTGTGGCCCAGTCTGTGTATTTGTGTTTTGTGTGTATATACGTGTATATGTGTGTGTGTATATATATATATATTAGTGTTTATGTGTATATATGTGTGTTTGTGTATATATGTGGTTTTGTGCATACGTTGTAATGTATTTTTGGGGGTTTTTTTTTGCTTTTAAAGTCTCTTCTGCTGTGTTTTTCAGTGTTTTTATGAGTGATGGTCACTTGTTGGCCTGAGAGGTGTCTTGTGTCCAAATTTGGTGTCAATTCGTCCAGTGGTTTTTTTAGTTATGTTCATCCCACAAACAAACATTACATTTTTATTTATATAAGATAGTGGTCTAGTACAATATAGTAATATATAATACAAATATTGTGCTGTGCTAACAATATAATATATTGTATACATGTATCATATTGATAATAATTTTATACTAGCCCCAGAGAAGGGCTTTCAAAGCAGTTTCCCGAACTACACATCCCAAGGTCTCTTTCTTATGCAGACTTGGCCTGCAGCTCACATCCTACCGGCCTTCCTTCAAGGGACATTGGGGTCTTCTGTCTCTTTGTGTCCCAGGCACGGCTTCCCACTGGCCGAGACTGAACCCCTTTTGTATCTGTCCCAGGGCTTTTCTTTCTCCTGGTTGGCAGCCAACTCTTTCCTGTGTGTGTTTGTGTGTGTGTGCAAATCACATGAGATATATAATTGCAGAGCATCAGCTGTCTGGGCCCCAGAGGGCTCGCTTTTAACTCTGTCTTGTTTATATCTCTCCCTTGTGGGAATTCCTCATTGGTTCCCATTCTTTAACCCAGGAATGGGCCAACTTGGGCCTTCCAGGTGTTTTGGACTCCAATTCCCACAATTCCTAACAGCCGATAGGCTGTTAGGAATTGTGGGAGTTGGAGTCCAAAACACCTGGAAGGCCCAAGTTGGCCCATTCCTGCTTTAACCCATCGTTGACCCACAAGGGATGCATCTATACCAGGCTTGGGCCAACTTGGGCCCTCCCTCCAGGTGTTAGGAATTGTGGGAGTCGAAGTCCAAAACACCTGAAGGGAGGGCCCAAGTTGGCCCATGCCTGATCTATACTCAAAAATAAATGCGGGTTCGCTTGACACCACATGTTTTCCTTGCTTTTCGTCTAAAATACTGTACCTTTAAGGCACCAGATCCTGTCTGGTCTTGGAAGCTAAGCAGGGCCAACCCTGGTTGGGACTTGGATGGGAGGCCACCAATACATCCCAGGTATTTTAGGCTTTGTATTGTTGAAGGCTTTCGTGGCCGGAATCACTGGGTTGTTGTAGGTTTTTCGGGCTGTATGGCCATGTTCTAGAAGCATTCTCTCCTGACGTTTCGCCTGCATCTGTGGAAAGCATCCTCAGAGGTTGATGAGATTTTGGCTTTGTTTATGACCTTTCCCACACAATTACCGTATATTCTGGCATATAAGACGACTGGGCATATAAGACGACCCCCAACTTTTCCAGTTAAAATATAGAGTTTGGTATATATTTTAAGATTACCCCCAACTTTTCCAGTTAAAATATAGAGTTAAGACGACTCCCATGCATAAGACTACACCCACGTATAAGACGACCCCTGACTTTTGAGAAGATTTTCTTGGGTTAAAAAGTAGTCTTATATGCCAGAATATACTGTATATAAAATCCACATTGAGCTGGATTATATGGCATTGTGGACTCAGTTCAAAGCATATATTTTGCATTATCTGCCTTGATAAACTGGGTTGTATGGCTGTGTAGAAAGGCCCTCAAAGAAAGGAATTTGCTAAACCGCTTCTGCAGATTCTTAGCCTAAGAAAACTCCATTAAATTAAATGCATAGGTACTTGCAAGTAGGCTCTTATTTCAGAGGAAGGAACTGGCAAAACTACCTCTGAAGGTCCTTTCACGCAGCCATAAAACCCAGAATATCAAGGCAGGAAATCCCACAATATCTGCTTTGAATTGAGTTATCTGAGCCCACACTTAGAT